CTTTGCAGGCTGCAAACATTCTAAAACATTGCATGGACAAAAGGTAATTAATTTTTAACGTCTTCCTTTCTAGTAAGATGTTCAACTTATATATGGTGTTTATATTTTACTCCTCTCTTTATACCAGCTTTTTTACTTTCCTCCTTTAATCTTAAAAACAAGAAAAGAAAATTTATTTTATGCTGTTACAATACAAAGGGCTTATGGGAATTGGGAGTGGAAGAGATACCGTATATTCAGACATGCCTACATATATCATCCCAATTTCCAGTTTTAAAGCAGTAGGTAACTACCATCTACCTCTTGCCATAGCGAAGTTGAAAGAAACAGTTCAAGAGAACATTTTGTCTTTCATTTATGTAGTTTGTCTTGGTTCTATGCTACTTATCAGCAGCACCCAATCCCCCAAAACCTTAAACCACAGTATTTCACACACAATACTACACTTCTGGTCACTTTTCATTCAGTTTTTCCTTCTGTGAAATTCAAAATGTCTACTCTATACCTTCTTGCTGTCTCTTGTTTTCTGCCCTACATTAACTCAGACGTAGAAATTGGTCTTTTCATTTTTTACCAGAACTCACCATACAAACAAGGCCTTTATAAGCACACAAGACCTTTATAAGCATATTGGACATTACAGAAAAGTAAGAAAGAGACGATTCATATGGCAGTAATAAAAGTGACGTGAAATTGAATATATACCATTTCTGTTTGTCCTCTGGCTTTTACATGTATTGGGACCATTTTGAAACTCTGTTTGCTCATCTTTGGGACCATTACCATCAGAAATCTCTTGTTTCCCTGGGCCTTCTACTATGCTCTGAACAATTTTTATTTTTTCATGAACAGCATCTGATCACTTTACTACTTGTTTGGCTCTGAGTTAAATTTTTTTTTATATCCAAAGTTGCATACATAGTGGCTCTGAGTTAAATTTTTTTTTTTATATCCTAAGTTGCATATATACAATTTTAAGTAGATAATGGACTATCTACTCCAGATTTTACCTTTTAAGTGGCACATAGACCACACTTTAAAAATTCTGTTTCTCTTTCCCTGCTCTGGCTAGTCTTTGTGGAGGGGAGAGAGCAACAAAGGGGTATATTTCCTGATTCACAGGCATTATGCAACCTCCCTTAATAGGTGATAAAATCCTTTATTAATTACTGTTCCTTTTTTTTGTGTGTGTGTGACTGGCAGGTACAGGAATCAAACCCTGGACCTTGGTGTCATCAGCACCATGCTGTAACCAACTGAGCTGACCGACCAGCTGCAATATTTTTCCCTTTTATACACAGATCATTTCATCATAAGAAATTAGAACACCTGACCANCATAAAATACCTCCATGGAAATTTGTCTTTTTGGAGCCTAAAATTCTTGCATAATCTAAATATGTACACTTCATTGTATATGAGATATACCTCGGTTAAGCTGTTATAAAAGAACTTTTTTCAATAAGTATATTTTTATGGACCTCATTGATCTCAATGTACATATTATTCATTATAAAACAATGGCAATTACATTCAATCTTGTTTTTACAGAACAGGGCAGTTGGGAAACCTCACAGATCCTTGCAACGAGAAATGTAAATGCTCGTCTTCATTATATTCGTCTATATGTGGAAGAGATAATATTGAATATTTTTCTCCCTGCTTTGCAGGCTGCAAACATTCTAAAACATTGCATGGACAAAAGGTAATTAATTTTTAACGTGTTCCTTTCTAGTAAGATGTTCAACTTATATATGGTGTTTATATTTTACTCCTCTCTTTATACCAGCTTTTTTACTTTCCTCCTTTAATTTTAAAAACAAGAAAAGAAAATTTATTTTATGCTGTTACAATACAAAGGGCTTATGGGAATTGGGAGTGGAAGAGATACCCTATATTCAGACATGCCTACATATATCATCCCAATTTCCTAGTTTTAAAGCAGTAGGTAACTACCATCTACCTCTTGCCATTGCGAGGTTGAAAGAAACAGTTCAAGAGAACATTTTGTCTTTCATTTATGTAGTTTGTCTTGGTTCT